CCCCTCCTACACTGGACAAGCAGCTGCCTGTCAGGTGTAGGAGAGGAGGTGGGATGCTTACAGCCGCCGGGGAGGTTTGCTCAGTAGGATTGCCTTAGCACTGCTGCTGGCCCAGCCTCTCTGATGCCTTTAAATACAATCCCCCCTAAACACCAGACAGGCTAGTGTCTGTCAAGTGTATGAGCAGGACCAGGGTACTTTAATCCATCAGGGACGCCGCCCCTGCAAGATCACCTTAGTGATGCTATTGGCCCAGCCTCTCTGGTGGCTTCCAACACACTCCCCCACTTCCTACACCTAACAGGCGGTTGTCTGTCAGGCGGAGAAGTGGTTGCAGGGTGCTTAAAGCCACGAGGGAGCCTGCCCCAGCAGTAATGCCTTAGTGATCCTGCCAGCCCTGCCTCCACAGTGGCTTCTAATACTCCCCCCCCTCCTCGTCCTACACGGGACAGGCAGCTGCCTGTCAGGTGTAGGAGAGGAGGTGGGATGCTTACAGCCGCTGGGGAGGTTTGCTCAGTAGGATTGCCTTAGCACTGCTGCTGGCCCAGCTTCCTTGATACCTTTAAATACAATCCCCCCCAACACCAGACAGGCCGATGTCTGTCAGGTGTAGGAGCAGGGCCAGGGTATGAATGTTTATGGGGAGATAGTAAAGGACATTTCTAGGAGCCATTTCGATGCGTGCCTCCCTCATGAACTTGAAGAAACGTCCACCACATCACTACTCCCTCACATCAACTCCCCCTCACACCTCTCACCTCTTACTGCCCCCAAGAAAGCTCTTGGCAAACATTGAACCATATACACCAACGCTACAAGGAGGAGGCAACTTAGGAATGCGGCAAAGACATTTGCACACAGTACTCTTGCAGTGCACTGAGCTGCACAGGCCAGGTACCAATCATCCTGCGGTGCTCAGAACAACACAGTCTCCATATGAGCAAAACAATCCAGGAACACAAGTAGAGAGGCCATCACTTTCATGGAAGGTAGCAGGAGTTGACTTAACAGATGACTGCTTCTTAAATGGACAGTGCTATGTGGCCTGCTCCAGAGTGAGCTCATCAAGCAGCCTGGTGATCCTAGCACCTGAGGGCAGAACCACCCATGTGGTCTAGAGAGAGGTCCTTCAGTAGAGGGGAAAAAAGTACATATGTCTCACTTCATTTCTTACACTACAATCTTCTCCATTAGAATTCCTACAACAAATGTCACATTTCAAATTTCACATCATCAGTATTATAACTGGATTTATGGAATTTAAATACCATAGCGAAGCACGGGTATCAGGCTAGTAGATAAATAAATAAATGATTGATTCATTGAAAATCTAGAGTTCTCAAGTTTTCTTCAATGTCCTGAGCTGTCCCACTGGAAAAAATCAAAATAGTTTATATTGGTGGCAAGTGTTAAGAATGCTGAAATCATACTGAAATTAATGGATATGATTCCTGAACAAGCATGAGAAGGTTTGAAACCTAAATTAACCTGCTTAGCATGCTGTATACTTTGGCTTATTTACTCATACTTTATGTGTATTCTATATATATGTAATGGAAATGAGTGATGGATTAATAATATGCCATTATTCCTGAGAGAGATTTTGCTAAATGGTTATTGCTACGATTGACTCTATCTTCTATTTCTCTTTATGAATTGAAAACAGATGCTTGAATTGGATGAAATCTTTAATACCCCAAGTGATGATGAAGAATTTCTTGGTTTTGAACCTGATGTTCCCATGGAAACGCTGTCACTGGTGGATTGCTTTGAAAGTTATGATTCACTGAAGTCGAGAAAAATGGTACGAAACCCTTGTAACAAATTTATACGTAGTTCTTAATCCAACAACCAAAACCCTCAATGAACTTGAAGTACTACATTTACTTAGGGCTGACACCAAATTAGGTAAAATCCTCTAGAAAAGCAAAGTATTCTTTCTGAACAAAGGGTGTTTTCCTTTTTTGTGTTAAGGATTGGATTTAGAGCCAAAATACACTTTATGTTTGACACTTGTGACACTGGTGCCTGACCTGACTTGTCAAATATTAAAGTGGGGACTGTCATGGGTCTGTGTCTATGTGTTACATGTGTGTAAATGTGTTTGTGTGTATGTAAAGTTGTTTTTCTTTGGTGCCACCACCACAAGTTAAATCCAACCTCCCACATTACCAGTACTTGGGGAACCACTAGTAACACCTACCTCTGAGCACGTACAAAGGGCAGAGTTTTTAAGTTACTTCAGCCCTTCCTCTGTGCACGTGAGCTTGAACAAGGGGCCAGGCACACAGGGAGGAGTTTGAAACACAGTGGTTGTCTTAAACAAGAAAACTTTATTAACTATAGGTTATTAAACTAGAGCAGAAAACAATGGAAAACAACTATCATGCATACTAGCTACTAGAAGTGTGCAGTTTTTTCCTGTTTTTTCCCCAGTTTGGGTATATTGAACTGAAATTTTTTTTGAGTTTCCCAAAAAATCTCAGATCCCAAGTAATTGTTCCCTCTAAGCTCCACAGTGTTGTGAGCAAAAATTCTAGTAGCATTAAAGTTGTGAGTGAGTCTACATTTGACTATCACATAAATTAGTTTTTTAGATTATTTCCATAACGTTGTAAAAATCTCAGGATGAATTCTTTTAAACTATAAACTATATTTTAAGAATAAGTCAAACATTATAAGAGGAAACAGAATCAAGTCACATTTCATTACAGAAAATGTTGTCATCTATGGGGGTAGACCAGACCTGTAGAGAACAGGTCTGCCCTTCCCTTTCCACTATATTGGTAGACCTGGCCTCTAGAGGTCTACCTACCCCATTCCACTATATTCGTACCCCTATAGATGACGCTTTCCACTATATTGGTAGACCTGGTCTCCAAAAACCAGTTCGACCTGCCCCAGAGCCAGCCAGCTCCAAGCTGAGTTGGCAGGGGCTGTCTTCTGTGGTCTCTTTAAAGTCTAAAGGGACTGCAGAAGCCTGACAAACAGCTGAGAGGCGGGAGCAATCTTCTCATGCCTCTTGCTTTTTTGGATCTACTGGAATTCTCAAATATATTCGTTTCTCCAAGCTAAAGAGTCCCAAGCGTTTTAACCTTTCTTCATAGGGAAAGTGTTCCAACCCTTTTATCATTCTAGTTGCCCTTTTCTGCACTTTTTCCAATGCTATAATATCCTTTTTGAGATGTGGTGACCAGAACTGTACACAGTACTCCAAATGAGGTTGCACGATCGATTTATACAGGGGCATTATGATACTGGATGATTTGTTTTCAACTCCCTTCCTAATAATCCCCGGCATAGCCCTCACAGTGTTTGGAACTGTGCAGGGTGATGAAGGCATTAAAAAAGGTTTGTAAAGCTTAGTACCTGTCATGATCCAGAGATGCAATGTACTTTGAAGCTCACCAAGGGTTTCCTGGGATCCTGACTGCTGCTTGCTTTCCCAGGGAGAAGGTCCATAAAATGCTCCAAGAGGTCACCAAAGAGTAGAGATGGTTTCCACAGAGAGATAACTATTTGCTCTAACTGCCAGGAAGGGCAAGATGGATAGCTGTTGTAAAACATTACCAGGGTACTGAGAAGTATGGAAAGTGCACCCTTGGATGACCTGAACCATAGGTATTCACCATCAACATGGGAGTGAGTTTCCTAAATCTGGATTGGATAAGAGACTTCCAGCCAGCTAGGGCAAGAAGGGTTAAAAGGTGAAAAACATTAAGTTTCTGTTGTTCAAATGTTAAGAATTGGATTCTCTGCATGGAGCAGGTGGGGGTTCAGGATTTGCATTTGCTCCATGGACATGCAGGGAGGGATGTGGAAGTAAAACTGCTGTACTGTTCAATTTAGCGTAGTGATATGTATTTTCCAGTTCTTTTCTTTAGATCTGTGTAGCTAGTCTACCCGAGCCGAAAATATACCTGAAAAATACCTTATTGGTGGGTTTTTTGGGAACGTTTCAGCATCCCAAATGTATCCAGGTTTTCTCAGGGGGGAAAAATCCTGAGAAAGTCCCGGATATATTTGAGAATTCCAGTAGATCCAAAAAAGCAAGAGGCATGAGAAGATTGCTCCCGCCTCTCAACTGTTTGTCAGGCTTTATGTGGCTTCTCTTATGTTCTTATGTCCTTATGAGGGCAGAGGAGGGGCTTCAGATTTCCCTCACCCCTGCTGTTTTTGCCGGTGGAAAGTCACAGGAAGGGCTGTTTGTTCATTCTTCTGGCTCCATGTATTCTCGGAATGGACACATGGAGACACAGGAAAGGGCAAGCACCAGCAACCCTCCACAGCCATTTCCACTGGCAAAAACAGTGGGGGAGGGAAGCCGAAAGCCCCTCTTTTACCCCTTTCAGCATTTGGAGTTGTGTGGGGCAACAAAGGCATTTTAAAGGGTTTTTAAAGCTTAGTCCTTGCTCTAGCATTTGACTACAATTCGGATCAGGAACTTTTGTCACAACATATGTTAAATGTAACATGTATTTTGATAACTTGATTCTTCATTTGGATTATTTTGTCTTATTCTCCCCTTGCCATGTACAAATCAATAAAATGTACATGTTCTCTTTCACACAGTTTGTAGGGATAATCACTTGAAAAATGATAATTACAACTTTGAAACTGTCTAGCTTGCCAAATATTGTATTGGCAGTGGTACCCATTTGTTATTTGCTAATTTTATGAAATGACAAATTTTAAAAAATGGAATATTTTCTGTAGGAAACATATAGCTATTCGGAAAACTTTCCACCCCACCTCTTTGCACCCTCATCCTTTCAAAAGGTTCCCCAATATCACATACAGCACAACAGGTTAAAATAAAACACAATAATAAAAGAAAAAAACCGCAAAGCACAGAAGCATTCATCTTTGGAACAATTAAGCCTTTCCTGAAAGGAAGACAGTGGACAGAGTCCTTATTGAAGCCCATCTAAGCAGTACTATCTGTAAAATGTTTAGCAGATGTGTTACAGCCAGCATCTGAGCAAATGTACTCATCAGGCGTACTTGATAAAAGGCAATTGACCACCTCAAAAAGCTGCACTGGACAACATTGTGCAGATATAGAGAAGTATAAAATGTTTTACCATGGAAAGTTCCATTCCTCTGAAATTAACTGTGGTCTATGCTCTTGAGCCTCTTCAAACACAGACAGCCCTATCCCATTCCAAATAGAACAAAGATCTACTGGAATTTCTTTATAGCTGTCATACTGCCCAATAATCACAGAGCTGCTCCAACAGGAAAAGCTTGGATGCTGACATTTCCCAAGATCCAGAAACTGCAAGAGTATCATCAGGTTCCAGATCAGATGTAAAAACTTGGTTAGGCACCTAGGCAGCGAGATGATTTGTAGTCTGACTCTACTGTCCAGCACCCAGGTACAGAACCTCCATACAAATGGTCTGACAGATGAATAAAACAAGCTACTGAAAATCTAGGTGATACTGTTCCAACCCTATCTCATTTTTGTCCTGCCCATCCTTGAGAGTGCTCAAAATGGCACACTTGTTTCTCTCATCTCTCATTTTATCCTCATGAATCTTTTGAAGCAGGTTGGGTGTGACTGGCCCAGCATCATTATGCTTCATAGTTTGAATCTTCTTGAGGCCAACATCCCTGTGACATAATATCTGCTCCATCTCTACTCTTCAGCTCTCCATTGGCACTTAGCTGAATACCCACTTTGGACATAGTCAAAAAGAGTAAGATTAGCTGGTCTCAGTGGAACAAGTCAACCAGATCCTTCAATGCCAGGATAATATCTTGGATTCTTTAATGGTTCTATTATTTTATGTTTTGGATTTGTTTTGCTGTTTATGAAATATAGAACAACAGCACCCTCAGAGGTGAAGAACAGTTGTTACTAATCCCCTGGCACTATTGACTGGAGGGATGCCTGGGATAGCCATTAAGTGCCCACTTTCCCTTCTCCAGTACTTATCCTGCTCCTTCTCAAGGTAATGCCCGTTTGGATACCTGCTGCTCCTTGGCCTGCTTTTACTCCGTTGGGACAACTGTTTTATTCAACTAGCAGCAGCGTACAAAGCCCAATGATGACAAGAAAAAACCTTCCCAGACTAATAACAGAATACTTCCAAATTCTCCTACTAGAAAACCTCCTGCATCAATTTGGACTAGCTTGTTTGCTCTTCTTTCTCAAATAAGACCTGTTGGACTAACCGCTTTCCCTGGCCTCTGAAGCAAAGTTGTAATGCAGTTTTTTTTGTTTTTGTTTTTAAAAAATGTGCTTGTGTGTGTGTGTACGTGCCCACGCGCACCTGGACGTTATGGCAACCTCTGGTGACTGATGGAGGATATTCAGAGAGGTGGCTGAATAAAGCCTGCCCCCATCTCCTGCCTCTTGTTTTTCAAGGAAGTCTCCCATCCAAGTACTTGCCAGAGTCGACCCTGCTTAGCTTCTGAGGTCTGATGAGATCAGGCTTGCCTGGGCTATCCAGGTCAGGGCAGTTGCAATGGAGTTGTGAAGCATGGTAGTTTGCCTGCCCTACCCAGAAATACAGTTTCTCATTAAAGTTAACTTCCTATTTGTGTATGTGTGCTTTCCACACATAAGCAGCTGTGCTGCAGCTATCAACAAAAGTACAAAGTAATTTTACTAAGAGAACACACTCCAATTATCCTTAATAATTCATAGGACATGTTTTTCAAGTTTAAAGGAACAGCATATAGAATGATTTTTCCCTTCTGTTCCCCTGAAAGTTTTTTCCACTCATCTATTGTATCTGATTTTTACCTACATTATCTCAGTGTAAAGAAGTATATAATTAAATTGCAGGGAAACGAGGGCAATGAAAAGGGGGGAATAAAGATAGTTAAGTGACGTGCAGCTGTATGAAAGGTCATTGAGTCTTACATGGGAGGAGGAAAAAACAGAAGAAAATGAGTGAAATGCTCTCAGATGCACCATGTGACTCTCCAAAGGCAGATGTTTTGTGGGTATGCCCACGTTTCCTCTTGCCCTACTCTTGCCCTTTTCTTTTAAGGTAGAAAGATTGACAGGTACGTTGAAGTATTTTATTTCTTTTACATACCTCACAACCTAGTTTTAGTTAGTTTACTGCAACTTTTAATATGGCTCACACAATAAAAATGTTAAAGACAACACGAAGAAGAAAAATTACAACTTTATGCTGATCAATCAAGAGCAAGCTGCTGTGGGGTTTAGCTCCCCCCTCCCTGCTTTGTTTTCTGTGAGACAAATTTGGGCCGTGTAAACACTTTGAGTAGAATTGATAAAAGTAAGTGGAATGGGAGACAACATTTCTTTTTTGAAAATTAGAGAAGATAGGGAGTGGCTCGCCTGTAATTGTGTTTGTTTGATCATAGCTGGGTTTCACACTTTCCCAGTGCACCATCATCTGGACATTAACTTGTTATATTAGTTTGCTTTTATTTTGTTAATGGGATCTTGTGGGTGTGGATTTTCTTTCCCTTTTCTATTGGGACCAGTGCTGTGTGTTGATTTTTCAGGATATTCATTTGCGATCCAAGTACCTGACTGAGGAGCTGAGAAGCATTTTCACCGAAGACACAGATTCAGAAAATGAAGTGTTTGAAGGTTTCTCTTCAAATGAACCGGAAGTAAATGGGAAGAAGGTATGGACAGTATTTCCAAAGCATCCATCTTCATTAAACTCCTTTTCTTTCCTTCTGTAAACCGCTCTGAGACCCATTAGGGGTCATGAGCGGTATAGAAATCGAAATATAAATAAATAAATAAATCTCTTGTTCTATGGAACATCTTGTCATATGACCAAGGGCAGCATTGGGGGCAGTCGTGGCATGCTGTGAATACTCAGAGCTGTTTGTTATGTTGATCTTTGTAGCATGGCAACTTCTGTGATGTCAGAAACCTCAGGCAACACAAGAAGAGCCAGAGCCTTCACGGTACCTTTCCCACTGTATTAGCATTGCCTACTTTCTGGGCGGGGAGGAGAAGCAAAACGCAGGGCTCTTTTTGTAGCAGGAACTCCTTTGCATATTAGGCGACACACCCCTAATGTACCCAATCCTCCAAGAGCTTACAGAGCTCTTCTTACAGGGGCTACTGTAAGCTCTTGGAGGATTGCCTACATTAGGGGTGTGTTGCCTAATATGCAAAGGAGTTCCTGCTTCAAAAAGAGCCCTGATGGGCATGACAATGAGTGCACCCTACTCTACAGAAGTTAACAGAAGGGGGCATTAGGGTTTAAATCCCATTGTGAACTCAGGATTACTTCCTAGCAAGTGTGGTAAGTATTGCGGCCTTAATTCTGGCTTAAACACACCACTCTCATTTCTGTGACACATTATCTCTGGAAGCGTTTTAGGAAGAAAAAAATAGTTAACAGAAGGGGGCATTAGGGTTTAAATCCCATTGTGAACTCAGGATTACTTCCTAGCAAGTGTGGTAAGTATTGCGGCCTTAATTCTGGCTTAAACACACCACTCTCATTTCTGTGACACATTATCTCTGGAAGCGTTTTAGGAAGAAAAAAATAGCTGTCAAGCGAATGGTGGTTTGACATTGGGCTCATTAGCCTTTTCAGCTTTGATCCGAAGTAAATACCTCAGCTGATATTTTGATTGACATTCTCATCTCTCCTGTGCAGATGGTGGATGTCCACTGTCTGGGTCTTGTTTGTTGCATTACTATTTTCCTGCAAGCCAGGCTTTTTTTTTTTGTATACTTCGTATTCAGTGTGCTAATTTAGATTCCAGTGGTGTGTATGTAGATAAGAACAGAAACTTCAGTGACAGAAATCAAACCATAATGGGTTGTTTTTGTTTTTAGGTGGTGGATTCTCATCTGAACAGTGAGAGTGACACGGTATCTGTGACAGCGACTGAGGAGAAGGAAGAGAAAGGGAGAGTTTCCTCTAAGAGAAGGAGCTTTGGCTTTCGTGTGGCATTGCAGTTTCCCACTAAGACGTCTGCTGAGAAGAGGGTACCTGACAAGATTGACTCCAAGTTCTGCTTAAAGGACAGTGAACACCCCTACACTCTCAGAAGAACAAAAAATAATAAAACCTGGAAGAAACTAGGCCAGGAAACATCCTCAGAGTCTGAAGAAGATGCTAAAGAGGCATCCAAAGATACTTCTAGTGCACTGCTTAAAAGAGCTATGAACATCAAAGAAAATAAAGCCATGGTAAGTCTTAGCACTGTTGCACGCTAACTGTAAAACTATATATTCTATCACTGTGGCATTATATAGTCAGAGCATTTTTCCTCATGACCTTGTATTTCCATTTGGCAATACTAACCAGTACACAGAATTCTCATTATTGTAATTTCTAAATCTCCTGTTGAGTATGGGTATCTTAGATTTGCTGTTTATTCTTGCTGTCTTCACGTTCTTGGTTGTGTGCAATTTCTGAATGTCAAGGCTGAGTTTGGGCTTCATGTCTAGTATTAAATTTGTTCTGGAAATCTTTACATATTGTTGTCTTTTTGAATTACAGTGAGCTCTGTTATAGGTGATTGAGGATAACCATATGTTTGTACGTATTTCACTCTCCCTCACTTCTTGCTTTAAGAAGCATTGCATCTTGTGTATAATATTGAACAATAGTACTAGAGCCCAGATCAAAAAAATTCGCACAGTGGGGTCATGAGCAGATGGGGGGGGGGATTAATCAAATCTGGGTCAGCTACCGTGTTTGCGCAAAACAATCCAAAAGTTTTTTAAAAGTGGTGAAGTGGGGAGAACACTGAAAAGCAATGAGGGGAGTCAGTGGGGGTGGAAGGAATATCCTCCCCCCATGAGCTTTGTGGGTCCCCAGATTATTATCTCATGTTCGTTTCCATTGAATGAACCATCTTTCCTTGTTGACATGGAAGGCAAAGCCAGTTCACACTGGATTGCTTACTTGACAATTATAGCTCAAAAATGACCTTAATTTTTGTACAAGTGCATAAACCCATATTCTTGTAATTTTAAAAAATATCAGTTAATTTTTAATTTTTTTATAAGATTATCAATCTAAAACATTAAGAAGATAATCAGCAGTGTGACTTAAACAACTCAGATATGATAATGCAGAATTTCACTTCTGATATTAATAGTTGTATAAATAATATCAAATAGCATTGCTTTTTTCTGCTTAATTAGTTATTGAATGCATGTACCACATATAGCCTAATTTAGTGTCACTTTTCTAATTTCAGCTTGCTCAGTTATTAGCGGAACTGAATTCAATACCTGATCTATTTCCAGTGAAAACCCCAACATCAACTCCTTCTGTAAGTATCAGTAAAAAAGATTTAATAAAAACTGCATCACACTGATCAGACTTGGTGTGTGTGTATATGTGGCTATCATTCTTTTTCTGCAGCATTACGTACTGTCTAAAAGCTGCTTTTTATGAAACATTATGTACTTGGGTTCTGATGCCCAAGTTAAAAAAATATATACATCTGTTATTAGTGTGTGCTTCCCAATTTGTGACTTTCCTTTCAAATACAATCACCAGAAATTGAGAAAGATTTGCACACACACAGAGTTTATATTGATCTGAAACCTGGAGACCTTGTTTATGTTTCTACCAAGAATATTAAGATGTTGAGGCCTAGCAGAAAATTGGGATGGAAGTTCATTGGGCCTTTCAAGGTGTGTAAAATCATAAATAATGTTGCGGTTGATGTTGTTTTGCCAAAGAATTTACGTGCTTTGCATTCTGTGTTTCACATGAGTTTGTTAAAGAAGGATCCTGGTCCGTCTCCTTGGAGACCATTGGTTTCTCCTCCTCCACCGATCATTCTGGAAGGAGATGAACATTTTGAAATCTCTGACATCCTGGATTGTAAATTGAAACGTGGTAAACTCTGGTACCTTATTGAATGGGTGGATTTCGGGCCCCAGCACCGTGAATGGGTGGAAGAAGGGGATATTCGGGCCCCTTACTTGATTCGTGAGTTCCACAGAAAGTTCCCGGACAAACCGGGAGGTCTCCCGCCCAGCCCGGGAGTTCTCCCGCCGACGCCTGGAGATGGGTTTTAAGATGTATTTTTGGGGGGGCAGTATGTCAGCATGCTGCCATTGTGTTTTTATGACCTCTGTGTACATGACCTTCCCCTGCTGTACCCAGCTTGTTATTCTGCTTCTTTGCTGGAATGCCTAAGATAACTACTGGAGGGTTTGTGGGGGAGACGATGCTGTAATGCTTGCCACTGATTATCGCTTGGGAACGGCACCTGTGTTTTGTCTGATGTTCTGCCTGGTTCTCATGGTTTGGGCGCGCAACTGTTTCTTTAGCCCGCCAGCGGGAATGTTGTTCATTGGATCTGTGTCTGTTTGAATTTCCTTTATTATGCTTGCCCTACCTGTGCATCCCCAGTTCTAACAAAGAACGTGTTTGAGTATGTCTTCAACGCTTTGAAATAAATTTTGCTTTTCTTGAAAACGTGGATTTATTCTCGATGCTTGAGGATCCAACAAATAGCTGTCAAGCGAATGGTGGTTTGACATTGGGCTCATTAGCCTTTTCAGCTTTGATCTGAAGTAAATACCTCAGCTGATATTTTGATTGACATTCTCATCTCTCCTGTGCAGATGGTGGATGTCCACTGTCTGGGTCTTGTTTGTTGCATTACTATTTTCCTGCAAGCCAGGCTTTTTTTTTTGTATACTTCGTATTCAGTGTGCTAATTTAGATTCCAGTGGTGTGTATGTAGATAAGAACAGAAACTTCAGTGACAGAAATCAAACCATAATGGGTTGTTTTTGTTTTTAGGTGGTGGATTCTCATCTGAACAGTGAGAGTGACACGGTATCTGTGACAGCGACTGAGGAGAAGGAAGAGAAAGGGAGAATTTCCTCTAAGAGAAGGAGCTTTGGCTTTCGTGTGGCATTGCAGTTTCCCACTAAGACGTCTGCTGAGAAGAGGGTACCTGACAAGATTGACTCCAAGTTCTGCTTAAAGGACAGTGAACACCCCTACACTCTCAGAAGAACAAAAAATAATAAAACCTGGAAGAAACTAGGCCAGGAAACATCCTCAGAGTCTGAAGAAGATGCTAAAGAGGCATCCAAAGATACTTCTAGTGCACTGCTTAAAAGAGCTATGAACATCAAAGAAAATAAAGCCATGGTAAGTCTTAGCACTGTTGCACGCTAACTGTAAAACTATATATTCTATCACTGTGGCATTATATAGTCAGAGCATTTTTCCTCATGACCTTGTATTTCCATTTGGCAATACTAACCAGTACACAGAATTCTCATTATTGTAATTTCTAAATCTCCTGTTGAGTATGGGTATCTTAGATTTGCTGTTTATTCTTGCTGTCTTCACGTTCTTGGTTGTGTGCAATTTCTGAATGTCAAGGCTGAGTTTGGGCTTCATGTCTAGTATTAAATTTGTTCTGGAAATCTTTACATATTGTTGTCTTTTTGAATTACAGTGAGCTCTGTTATAGGTGATTGAGGATAACCATATGTTTGTACGTATTTCACTCTCCCTCACTTCTTGCTTTAAGAAGCATTGCATCTTGTGTATAATATTGAACAATAGTACTAGAGCCCAGATCAAAAAAATTCGCACAGTGGGGTCATGAGCAGATGGGGGGGGGGATTAATCAAATCTGGGTCAGCTACCGTGTTTGCGCAAAACAATCCAAAAGTTTTTTAAAAGTGGTGAAGTGGGGAGAACACTGAAAAGCAATGAGGGGAGTCAGTGGGGGTGGAAGGAATATCCTCCCCCCATGAGCTTTGTGGGTCCCCAGATTATTATCTCATGTTCGTTTCCATTGAATGAACCATCTTTCCTTGTTGACATGGAAGGCAAAGCCAGTTCACACTGGATTGCGTACTTGACAATTATAGCTCAAAAATGACCTTAATTTTTGTACAAGTGCATAAACCCATATTCTTGTAATTTTAAAAAATATCAGTTAATTTTTAATTTTTTTATAAGATTATCAATCTAAAACATTAAGAAGATAATCAGCAGTGTGACTTAAACAACTCAGATATGATAATGCAGAATTTCACTTCTGATATTAATAGTTGTATAAATAATATCAAATAGCATTGCTTTTTTCTGCTTAATTAGTTATTGAATGCATGTACCACATATAGCCTAATTTAGTGTCACTTTTCTAATTTCAGCTTGCTCAGTTATTAGCGGAACTGAATTCAATACCTGATCTATTTCCAGTGAAAACCCCAACATCAACTCCTTCTGTAAGTATCAGTAAAAAAGATTTAATAAAAACTGCATCACACTGATCAGACTTGGTGTGTGTGTATATGTGGCTATCATTCTTTTTCTGCAGCATTACGTACTGTCTAAAAGCTGCTTTTTATGAAACATTATGTACTTGGGTTCTGATGCCCAAGTTAAAAAAATATATACATCTGTTATTAGTGTGTGCTTCCCAATTTGTGACTTTCCTTTCAAATACAATCACCAGAAATTGAGAAAGATTTGCACACACACAGAGTTTATATTTTTGGTGATCTTTGTAATGAACTCTGTAAGCAATGTATTTGTGTATTTTCCTCAGAAGTCATAACTATATGTAGAGAAAATGCCAAAAATTGGCACTGCTGTGTAGATTTCACAAAAGCTGCAATTTAATTTCTGTTCTTGCTTCCAAAGGGTAAGGGGGGGTTGTTGTAAAAAAAGCTACATTAGTACAAAAAAGACAGTTATGCACTGACACTATGACATCTACATCTTACAAAATAAAGGCAATGAACAGTCTCCTGAAAACTCTGTCATCTTCCAGAAACAGAAGAAAACGCCAAAGAGAATGTTTTCAGAAGGCCAGATAGAGCTTCGTACTAACCCAACCAGGAATGCTCGTCCTCCGGAGAACTTTGGCTTGGAAAATGTTACTTTTTCTGCTGTCAGATTTGCTGAACAACTTAACAATTACAGACGCCAAAACAGTTTACAGAAAAGACTAAAAGAGGTATATGCTAGATCTATTTGTTCAGGCCTGTTTGCTTTAGTAACTATAAAAAAAGCATTTTAAGTATTAAGGACCAGCCAGTAAGGAGCAAAATTGACCCAAAGGTTTAAGTGAGATTTTAAGAAGCTTATATAAATACCCAGTGGCTTGCGGTAATTCAAAGCCATTTCAGTAAATTGCCCAAGCAGTCTGAATGTGCTGAAATATTTTTGACTGTGCTGGATTGTCAGTATTTATCTGAGAAAATGACAGCAAGTTGAGAGTGAAGTGGATGGGATGAGTGGGAATTGGTACTGTAAGACAAGTGGAGAGCTTTTGGGTGTTTTGAGGGAAAATAGGCTGTGTTAGAACAGGAGGAAAGAAAGGTAATTTTAATCTCTTTGAAAATTAACAGGAATCTGTGTAAGAAGATTGGCAGACCGATTCATGGGCTGCAAACCCATAAAGTTGTTAGAGTGTTGGACTGGGATCTAGGAGACACTGCCATGGCAGCTTGCTGGGTGACCTTGGGCCAAGTCGTATGCACTCTGTCTAACCTACCTCACAAGTTTGGGAGGAGAGGAGAATGATATAAACTGAGACACCCCATTAGGGACAAAGGCAAGGTATAAATGAAGTAAATAAACAGTCTCAACCACAATGTAAAGCAACCAATAGATAAGCAATATTACCATTATTACAACTCTTTTCCCCCTCATGACAATTGATTGCTTACTGCTAGACTAAACTGCTAAGCAGGCTTCGTTCTAAATGGCTGACATTCTGCCACGTTGTTGTTGTTTGTTTTTTTAATGTGTTTTCTTGTGTTGCTGACAGTTGTAAACATCCCCATATGATAGGGATTGCTATCATAACTTGCACATGAATAGTGTTGGCTGTAGTCTAATGGTCCTAGTTCTGCTTTGGGTGCTCTCAGAATTGAAAGTAGTAGTAGAGAAGTGAAGGAAAAGATGCTTGGAAAGCAAACTGTGAATATTAGGACTAGTTTGGATATGACATGAATATAGATGGAGTGTGGACTGCAAGCTGTCAAAGAGAGCCACTCTGCCTGCCCAACCCGGGCTGGTGATTCTCTTCGCCAAAGAGCCTGGCTAGCTACAATTACAAGGTGTGTGTTTGTTAAAGGCACCTGTATACCTTTAACCAGATAGTGCTACCACCAGTCATTTTATGTCCTTCCAGTCAAGAGCCAAAGGACAGACTCCTAACCCTACCGGGCTTAATTAGGAATTCCTCCCTGCGAGGTTGGCTCACAGCAGGAGACCCACAGGTTGTTCCAGAGATAGGAACCGACAGTCTTAGGCACCAGATAACTTATTGCAGCAGTGGAGACAGAAACCAGAAGCTGGTAAATAAAATATATGTTTATTTAAGTGCAGAGTATATTTATTAACAAGAGTGCAAACTTACTTAAAAATAGTATTGTGGGGAAAAATAAGAAAGCTAAAGATTAACAAACTATAGCTAGAACACATATGGTTCTCAAAGGCAAGATGTTACCCATTCAGTTATGGGTTCAAATGTACTCTGTCTCTAGAGTCCCAAAAGCCAGGCTGGTTGGCTTCAGCAGTCAGAGCTTCCACGATGGCTGAAAGGTGAGCAAGACAGAGTTACATGTCAGCTTCACATACCACACCATCATGCCCCCTGAATAGGAGTTAAGGTAACTTATTTATTGTCTGAACCCAAAATGGTTGCTAGGCCTAGGCACCAATCAGGGTTCAAGCAATGTCTTTCAGATACAAGAAGGCCAATCAAGGAAAGGATGATTTCATTGGTCTCTGACTGGTCTCTGGTCATGTCAGAAGAGCAGGTGATGTGATATGCAGTTTCACAGTACCAGTCTATCAGGAACTTTAGGCAGGTAATCCACACACCCATGCTTCTTCAGAAGATAAGTGTTTATTATGGTAACACAGAACTAAAGTATATGTATACAGCCTGTGTTAAGAATGCCTTATAATAAGATGGCTACTAACTTATAGCATATTCAAACTGCCCCCCCACCTGCGAAGCTAATGAAGTTTTCTTGCGTGCGCGGGCCCTGCCAGCAAGCAAGCAATTTTGCGCCCAAAGCAGTTACAGTTCCGAGGCCTGGGGAATTACAGCAAAGCATCCTCAAGGCCAATGTGCAGATAGCGGGAGCATTAGGCAGAGAAGCACTGAGAACGGGAGGGAGATAAAATCCCCCCTCACATTCCAACACCATGACAGGGCTACCTGACATCCTGCCCCTCCAAAGGCCCCCCCCCCGGCTTTTCTGGAAAGCGGCGATGGAAACACTCCAGAAGGTGAGGAGCGAAAACATGATCCGCTGTCACCCACTCCCTGTGTTGTGGACCGAAATCCACCCATTCAATCAAATAGTACAGCTTATTGCGCCTAAGCTTGGAGTCCAAAATCTCAGCAACTTTATGATTTTTTTCACATCCAACGATAATGGGGGGGTGGGCTTGCAGTTTGCGGTCGCCAAGCGTTAGTCCCAGGATCACGACAGAGAAGGCTGAAATGGAAAACAGCATGTAAGTGCCTTAAATTCTTAGGCAAGTCCACCTCCACAGCCACGTCATTGATCTTGCGGAGGACCTTAAAAGGTCCAATAAATTTGAGCTGTAGGTTCCTGATGTTTTTGGTGGAAATGTATACAGAATCGCCAGGCTGCACATCCCATGTCGCAGACCGCTTCTTATCGGCCTTGGACATATAGGCTAGTTTAGCGGAGTCCAAAGTCTTGCACAGGAGGGGCCGCGCATCTTTTAAACGTTGACACCATTCGCCCACCTCCCCAGCCGGGAGAGGACCCTCCAACAAAAACAGGATGGGAGGCGCCTCATAACCATACACAGCCATTAACGGGGAAACACCAGTTGATGAGTGATAAGCATTGTTATAACAAAACTCAGCCAAAGGAAGGAGACCCTCCCAATCATCTTGCTGGTAGTTCGTGAAACATCGGATGTACTGTTCCAAGGTTTGATTAACCCTTTCTGTTTGGCCGTCAGTTCCGGGGTGATAGGTGCTGCTGAGGCCTCTTTCGACCCCCATGAGGGACATGAGCTTCCCCCAGAACTTAGAGACAAATTGGGACCCCCAGTCAGATAGTATCTTCCGGGGTAGCGTATGCAGGCGGAGGACATGCTGAACAAACACCTTGGCCAAGATGCGAGCCGTAGGAAGGGCTTTAAACAGCACAAAATGCGCTTGTTTGGGAAACAAATCCACAACCACCCAAATGACAGTTTTTCCCTTGCTGGGCGGCAAGTCCGTAATAAAATCCATAGAGAAGACCTCCCAAGGCCGACCCAGAGTAGGTAGAGGTTGCAGCAACCCCAGGGATTTCCCCGGCCGAGCTTTGCACATAATGCAGGTTTGGCATGATTGAACGAACAGTGATAAATCTTTCCTCATTCCAGGCCACCAAAATTGTCGTTGGAGGAGATGAAGGGATTTGACAACCCCCAAATGGCCAGCCAGTTCGTTTGGGTGGGCTAACACCGTTTCGGGTGTAAACAGAACTTTAAGGTGCTCAAATGCCTCCTGGCAGTCATTTGTCCACACAAGCCGTGTTCCAGGCTGGTGCTCTCAGGGCCCTTCCCCTTAGTCCTCAGCAAATCTGTGAGCGGTAAACTCACCTGAGCGAAGTTGGGGAGAAAGGACCGGTAAAAATGGGCAAAACTGAGGAATCCTTGTAATTGCCTTCTAGTCTTTGGCTCCTCCCACCCCACCACATTGTGCACCTTGACCGGATCCATTTCTAGCCCCTTGTGCGAAATGTGGTAACCGAGGAAGTTAATTTCAGATCTGTGGAACTCACACGTAGAGAGTTTTGCAGCGGTGCTTGTGCAACATTTGGAGGACCTCCCGAACTAGCTTCACATGAGCGAGCTTATCAAGGGAATAAATCAAGATATCATCAAGGTAAACAATCACCCCCTTGAATAAGTGCTTGTGTAAGACTTCATTGATCAGGTTCATGAACACCATGGGCGCCCCCTGGAGGCCGAAGGGCATAACCCGGTACTCAAACTGCCCCAGAGGGGTATTGAAAGCAGTCTTTTATTCGTCTCCGGCTTTTATGTGGACATGAAAGTAAGCATCCCGTAAGTCAAGTTTTGAAAAGATTTTCCCTTTTGCAACCTTGGCCAAAAGATCTTTCATAAGCGGGAGGGGGTATGCATTTGTAGTTGAAACCACATTCAGCCCTCGGTAATCCGTGCACGCTGCAAACCCCCACCTTTTTTTCCCCGGAACAATACAGGGGCTGCAAAGGGGGAGGAAGCGGGTCAGATAAAACCGCGTGGCAAATTCTTATCGATGAATTTGCGCAATTCCACTTTCTCCATCGGGCTCATGGCATATAATTTCCCTTTGGGTAATTTGGCATCGGGAAGCAGTTCAATGGCCAGACTGAACCAAACTTTTAAAGCAAACTCCATTTTGAGTGAACTAAAGTTCTTGACACAAGCGTACCCAGTTCTTCTGCATGGCTTAAAAGGAACTTTTTCATCTTCCTCACTTTTAAAGTGCATAGGTTCATAGTGCTGAGATAGGGATGAGTTAAGAACATAAGAAAAGCCAATGTTGGATCAGGCCAATGGCCCATCTAGTCCAGGACTCTGTCACACAGTGACTGAAAATACCAGGTGCCATCAGGAGGTCCAGCAGTGGGGCCAGGACACTAGAAGCCCTCCCACTGTTGCCCTCCCCCCCAAGCACCAAGAATACAGTGCATCGCTTGCCCCAGGCTGAGGGTTCCTATCTATACCTTGTGGCTAATAGCCACTGATGGATCTCTGCTCCATATACTTATCTAATTCTTCTTGAAGCTGTCCATGCTTGTAGCCACCACCACCTCCTGTGGCAGTGAATGGAAGGTTTTTTTCACTTACTGCGAATCTTCCTTTCTTGGTGGATCAGGAGTGGGACAGTCCTTTACTTATGGGATAAGCTCCTCCTCCTTCAGCAGGGTCGGCTTCCAAGCTTGATCCAGGCAAGGGGAG